TGTTATTGTTTTATGCATAATAGTAAATTCTCAAGTTAAGTATCTATAGTAGCAGTTTAGTAATCATCAGTTTAATATGTTTTTATTTCAATCAGATATATAAATAATTAAGGTTGTGTTGTTAATCAGGTTATTATTATTCATTCCAAACATTTTACATTGCAGTATTATAATGATAATGATTTATATTTTAATACTCTTTGCATGTACCCCTAGACATGAGTAAAGTTGAAACGTTGTTATATTTTTAGTTGAACAATTAGTTAAATGTTTTTATGCCACATGTTGTTATGCAACGGCAGTCTCCGCCATGTTTTAAGTAGAAAGAATAAAGGCAATGAATTAAGAACATATTCTTTTCTTTTTAGACTCCGTATCATATCTTCAATTTGACCCGGCTAACATTTGGGGGCTCGTCCGGGATTTAATAATGGCATGTTTTTGTGATGTGGTGCGGCTCAAGAGAAAAAAAATTGGCCTAGATCCTATAGAACTGACAACTTAAGTGCAATAAAGCAATTCACAAATGAAGATGAGATGTTAAACTTTGCTGAAGAGATGGAAGAATCAATTTTAAAAGAAGAAGAAGAAGATCAAATGGCTTTTCGTTTTGCTGATTTTGAACGGATGCTTTTAGAATGCAAATCAGATGACAAGTCACACAAAATTTGTCCTAAATTAACAGAGAAGTACCATATGAAAACAAATCCGACACCAGTCATATGGAGTTCAGTAAGGCAGCAAGTGTCACCTAGCTTATTGACATATGATAAATTGGGACAGCCATCTTACCAAAAAGTGGTTAATTCACTGTGTTGGTTGTCACCATTAGGAATTTTTTTCTAAGCAATTTGATAAGAATATACAGTCACTTAAAGACATTTATTGATTATAGAAATAAGGCATGATGCTCAGGAACAAAGGGTTCGTCATTAAAGAGAACAGGTTGGCAATGGGTCAAAACTTCTATAGCCAAAAGGGTATGACTTGAACAGACTGGCCATCTTTTCATTTCATGGGGTTTTGGCGTGGTCAAACTGTTAAGTGTAATGGCGTTGGGTTTCCTGGGGAAGCGCTTAAGATAAGAATCAATAAATAATGAAGTGTCTTTGTATAAATAATTGTGATCTTAGAGGTTGAAAAGAATGTTAGTCAATAGTGTTTCATTTGAGATCTGGGGAAATATTTTAAAGCTTATGTTTGAAATTAGTAAATTTTTGAGGTATTTTTCTATTTTTTTATTTACTTGGTTTCTAGTCTTTATTTTATTATAGTTATATATTTTGTAAATTGTTTGTGAATCATTTCGGGTTTTAAGTGGTTAGTGATAACGGTTCATTTGATAGCAAATGTCGGGACGACATTTGGTTTACGGGGGGAGTGTGTGAGGTTGATGAAGGCACCCCTATAAAAAAATGTTAAGCGTTCTTTGCGTAAGTTATTCTTTGCGGTAATTTGGCGCAGTCTCCGCCATGTTTTAAGTAGAAAGAATAAAGACAATGAATTAAGAACATATTCTTTTCTTTTTAGGTAAGTATTAACAAGTAAGAGAAAGAAAAAGACTTTCTTCGATAGGTGTATTCATTGTATTTTTTGTTTATCGTAACTGTTATCAATGACATTGTGTTGTTTAGCTTGCAAACATGTTTAAAGTTGAGAGTCATATGTTTTCGCGGATAAACGTTTTACATACGTATTTTGATATTCATCTATATATCATCATATTTTTACTGTTTATTGTTAATACGCATTTTATATGATAACTATGAACTTTTTGTAAGTAAAATACAGTTTAATAATTGTTTAGACAATTATTTAGAATAGCATGTTTTATGCCATATTTGGAAAGAGCTCGGTAAATGAACCCAAGGGCAATTAAACGACATAAAATCGAACATATGAAAATTCATTATTATCTTTCATCTTTTGTTAAGTATATACAGTTATAAGTGCCAAATTAATTGATTGTCAGTATTATCATTTGTGCCAATGATTTAGATTGTTATTGTTTTATGCATAATAGTAAATTCTCAAGTTAAGTATCTATAGTAGCAGTTTAGTAATCATCAGTTTAATATGTTTTTATTTCAATCAGATATATAAATAATTAAGGTTGTGTTGTTAATCAGGTTATTATTATTCATTCCAAACATTTTACATTGCAGTATTATAATGATAATGATTTATATTTTAATACTCTTTGCATGTACCCCTAGACATGAGTAAAGTTGAAACGTTGTTATATTTTTAGTTGAACAATTAGTTAAATGTTTTTATGCCACATGTTGTTATGCAACGGCAGTCTCCGCCATGTTTTAAGTAGAAAGAATAAAGACAATGAATTAAGAACATATTCTTTTCTTTTTAGACTCCGTATCATATCTTCAATTTGACCCGGCCAACACAAACTTAAGATTTTCACGATTAAATCTAAGAAGATAAGTCTATTTCCTGAATCACTCAAAAAATGTTCAAGTTTTTATATGACATGTAATTGGTAAGTATTCAATGTTACAAAATTTATTGAAGTTAAATGTAAATTGTATTATTATAAAGACAAACTAATCACACTTGAAGTATTAAAACTGTATTGATATACTGTACAGTATTATATCCACTAGATTGCAATACATGGCAGTATAATTAAAGAAATATTGCAACATGCATTAAATGTAGTGCAAACTGTAGTGAAATATCACAGTATATTGTCATTTTTTTTTCATCAGACATTTAGGTTTACCAATTAAATTGAGAACAAATTTAGTTTTGTATTATAGTATTTCTATAACTGAGGTTTGTAATGTGTCATAGTACATGTATACTTGAATATTGCAAAATTTCTCTTGACAGTATGATATTAAAGTGTATAAAGCTATATATTTGCTGCAAAAAGTATCTTATTTTTGTATAAGTATTCTATGAATATTAAGAAAGGGTACTTCCAAATCTGAAAAAGAATTGTGGTAGATCTACATGATCTACTGAATTTAAAGCAAATAGCACATGCACATAATCGTTGCTAAACGGATAAATCCTTACTTTAAATAGCAGAATAATATTTTAATCCGGAACAATTTTATTTTGTTTACCCACAATAATTATCAACTCTTCCGAGAATCGACCATAAGGTTATGAAAACAATATGATCTTATTGTTGATTAATTTTATGAAAATATTTTATAAGATACTGTACGTTTAGGATAATTATTTAGTGACGCAGTGGTCAAGTACACTATTACGTTGGAAAACAGTTACCATTTTGTGTTTATTATCTTTAGTCACGCAGACTTGCCATATAAATTAAAATATCAAAAAATAAATCAACTGTCAGCGTAATGCAGTAGGTAAGGTTGTCAGTTAAATTTCTAGTTTAAAATATCAATGCAAGACTGGTTCTAATTGTACTTTTTTCACGAAAAATTATTTCTGTATATAAATAATCAAATACACATTATATTATTTTTTCTTGATGTAAAGAAGTGTTAAAGCTACATTAAATAAATATGTTAAAATATTTTTGCCTTCGGCCTAAAAACCAAGCATTCTACTGTTTCATTAACCTTTTTAACAGTATCGTTGTAAATCTCATCAAATATTGTTCATAAATTAGGATTTTAAATGGAAAACCCCACGGTAACACTAAAGTTCGTATACGAATTTTAACATGCAAATGAAGACTATAATGCGCTACGTCACGGTGTAATAATTGCTATCCGGAACACAGCAAATATAAGATTTTCTTGTGCAAACACACTTTTACCGTTTAAGCTTCACGATGCACTAGGCCTGTGGTTCAGAAAAAAATAATCATCTCATAAAAAAGATTAAATTTGTATGAAAATATCCGTTACAATGCGGAAATATACCGTTAAATTAGGACTGCTACTTATAGTCCTGTTTGTTGATTTAATATTGATGTACGGATGATCTGAAGGCGGAGTTTCTCATGCAAACAGAAATTGTACTTTCGAATTCGCCACAATGAGGTTGCACATTTGTATGTTCATTAAACTCATTTTGGTTGACTGGACACCAAAATAAGATCTGGAGTCGATATGAAACCCAATTTATTAATGAAATGTCGCTATTTCTTTTTTTATGAAATTTATTTAATGTAACTTTAAGTGTTGTGTTTATTTCTATTAACTTCTCATTTACATTTTATTTTCAAAAGTAATATCTAACAAGTTGGTACAACCTTAAATACTAAATGGAATGAATAAATGTACACATATTTTGTCAACTATAGTTTAGATGGCGCAAAATACTCGTGCACTGCACTAGTACTATGACTAGTACAGCATACTACACACTTAACAGGATAAAAAATATTATTATCTGTTTATGTTAATTAGAAAATATAACAAAACTACCTTAATTTTCCAACTCATTCGCATCTTTAGTAAAATTGAAAAAAAAGATAGGGAAAAAATAAAAAAGACAACTTGTGAGACTCGAACTCGTGAAAAAAAAAGTTGTGTTGCATCCAAATGGCTTTACCAACTTTGCCATCTAGACGTTTCGAATTTGATTTCTTATCTTGTATTATATACGCTTTTAAAAAACCTGTTTTACCTTTTCAGACAAAGATTGTAAACTTTTTTTGTACACAAAAAAATGCACTGTTACTCTCACATTATCATAGCTGCACAGAATAGCTTTATACCCTTCATGTATACTAAAGATTAAATTACATTTTTATATTGAAGTCGGGTTGTTTATACAGTACACAGCCCTTATAGCATGTTTTAGAATTAATTTAGATATTAGTTTTGGAGAAAATATATGAGTAATTATAACCAAGTGATTTTGAACTGCCTTTTTTTTTCCCATTAATTTTACATCCTTCTTAAGCCTATTAATATATTTTTCAAAACACAATAGTAGAATCAGCTTTTAATATAAATAGTAGAATCAGCTAATAAAAAGTTTTCTGTGTAAAATTTATAAGTGATCTTGGTCTAAGTTATCATTTTTTAGGAAGTGATAATTATCTTTACTTTAGCTATTTATTATTTTTAGGGGATAAGTTTTGAAGATGCGTCCAAAGTGCGGAAAGAAAATCTGTCACCAGCCTTGTTTACATACTACAAGAAACCGGTGATGATTCATCAAGGTCACATGCAATGGTTGTATGACACTGATGGTAAACGATACCTAGATTTGTTCGGAGGCATTGTTACTGTCAGCGTCGGACACTGTCACCCGTATGTTACATTAGTAATTCTTATATGCATGTACATATACACTTTTCATATCAAGGGTTGACCGCAAAACTGCAGTAACATATATTCAATAAAGAAGGACTTACAACAGTTTACGGTCAACCTTTGATGTGTAAATCATTTAAAGCATAACATACTTGCAGTATATGTTCCTGCATGAATTAACACATGATAATGTACCCATGGTTTTTTTCTATCATCCATTACTATATGATGAGATTTAATGAAATTTAATTTCATGTTTGGCTGCATTAGCATTTCTGTCTAATACATGTATTAAATTGATTTTTTTACTGGTTGGAGAGATAACTCTGACGCATAGATAACCACGACACTTGGTTTAATATTTTGATTTATCTTTTTTTTGTCAACAAACAAGCACAAGTCATGGTCACCAGTAGTAATAAAGGAGAAGGACAGACTGGAATGAGATTTTTTTTAAATTTGGTAAACTTATAAATGTGTTTATGTTTACCACAATTTTTTGTACAAAAACGGCCACAAAACGTTCTTTTTACTTATTTTCCAGCTTGTAGTTAGAATTGTCTTGAACACAGGCTACTGACATGGGGAAATTTCTTTAAAAAATTGTTAAATTATCAATTAGGCATAGATAAAGCATATAAAATGTAAAAACAACTGATTTATTCTAATTTTCAAGCTATTTTTTATTTTAGTGTTGACTGTTATGATATTGAAAGTAGAAAACTCCTGAAGAAATGTAAATTGTCAGATGACTTATCTTCTTATAAATTGTATTTGTGTGGCCATTATCTCTAAATTGATGAAAACGATTGTAAATATTAAGGTAACTTTTTTTCATCTGTTGTTAGGAAAGTGAATGCTGCTGCAGAAAAACAGATGAAGAAATTATGGCACACAACAAATATATACATGCACCCAACAATACATGAATATGGCCGAAAACTGGCGGAGAAAATGCCGGGAAATCTGAAGGTTTGTGTTGGAATTGTTTCAAATTAGTATTATCGTATAAGTACCTAATCTCACACCCAACCTATTCTCAAACCCTTCATTCATGTGCTGTTATTTTTTTACTAGAAGTGACTATGATGTCCTGAACATGTGTGCATAAAAGCTTAGTTTCTGACAGACATATGTGCTGATGTCAAATGAAAACAGTGCATAGGAACAAATATTTACATAACATATTTTATTACTTAGCGTAATTTCATACAAATTGCTATTACCTTTGTAAGTCCCATAAATACACCATTAACTATTTGTGAAAATGAATATTATAGACAAAAATAACTTAAAGCAGGTACCTGCATCGTGTAGGGTACTTAATTGTCATGTGATAGTCATATAACAATCACTTCATAGTCATATAACAATCACTTCATTGGCTAAACTAAACAGTAGAATTTTAGAGATACTTGAAGGGGTTTGAGATTAGGTTCTTTATTTTAAGAGGTCATGTCAGTTTTAAAACAGAGGGTTGTGCTTTTCCAAAACTGAAATAGAGCTTTTTTAACAGTTCAAATTCAGTCAAATTTTACAGAAATGTTACATAAAGATTAAAAAGTGTACATATCGATGCCTTGGTGCGAAAGGGTTGTAACTCAATATTTTGAAATTATTCAGGAGAGACAAAAAACTTATTTATTCTTTTACATTCTAATAAATTCTTCTTTAATTTTGCTTTTTGGCTTTAATTAATTTACTGATATATAATTGATTGGAAAGGTTATTTCATTTTGTCAGCATAAAGAGATAATTGATAAAGTTTCAGTTACAACCCTTTCACACCAAAAAAATCAAAAATTTCAAAAAATTATTTGGTGCGAAAGGGTTGTAACTAAATTTTTGCTTTAAATTCTGATAAATGTAATGGGTCAAATGGACAGATCCAAGCTTAGTGGTGTTAAGTATGAACTAATTTAACATATTGCCTGGATATTTCAGTGAAAAACCTTCAAATTATATGTTTTTAAAATATAATTTCAGAAGAAATTCACTTTATATATAATATTTTTTCTATGTGACACACAGTTCAGATTGTCAAACCCATCATAAGTACCAAATATGCATTAACATGTATGTTTTTGCAAGAATCAAAGGTAAATTTTTCGCAATTCAAAATGTAAACTTACATAATGACAAAACCATCTAAGACACATTTTTTTTGTTAATATAAGCCTTTAGAAAATGAGAATACTCTTATTTTATTTTCCATCTATTCTATACATAGACTTTTCTTAATTTGAAAACTTAGATAATTCCTAGGATGTGTACAAATTCTATAAATTTAAGCATTATCCAGGTCCTGGATCTTCTTTACTATTAAGCCAAAAGTATGAGAAAGATGATAAATATTATAGATGTTCTAAGCTTCTAAGCTAATGCTATTTTTACAACTCTTTACAGTCCCAAATTTCATTGTTTATAATTATATTAATCAGTCCAGCCTGAATCAGTCAATAATTAAATGAGAAAAAAAATAAGGCCTGCAAATAATAACAATTACAAAATGCAATCCCCTGTGACCCCAATAAAAGTCACAGGTGTGCACACAAACGCACATAAGCTGAGGAAGTAATTAATATCTTTATGAATCATTTTAAATAGCAGATAGAATATATCTGATAATTTACCTTTATCTAACAGAAAACAAAGGGTCAATAACATATTTTACTTGGTATTTTAACATGACCCGCATTTCCCTATTGAACATAGAATAACCGAAAGTGTGCGTTACTATGCAATAAAATCACACTGTTTGACATTCTATATTAAGACATGTGACGTAGTCATTTATATACACGCAAAGTAACCACTAAAAATGTGACGTGCTGAAAATGAGTATGAAAACAAATCAGGAGCAGTTTAGATAAATATAAGGTACGGCAGCATTAAAATTTTATTTGTTGATGTTGTGTTAGAATCAAAATAATATATATGCAAATCGCTTGGAATCACTTGATAAAATCACTGTTTGTTGAATGTGCATCATTATATCACTCGGCATCCGACTCCAAACAGTGATTTTATTGAGCGATAAAATCACAGTTAGTGATATATTATTTCTTAAATAATAGACCTATGTAACTTGTATTAAGCTAGACCTACATGTAGCCTGTTTATCTGTGTAATTCAACCATACATCATACTGTTGGCTTGCAGTTTAATGGAAAGTCTTTAAGTCTTTTTCTTTTGTCCAATCAGCAGATATTTGTGATACAATATTTATACAATTTGTCTTTGACAAGACATGAAAATATTCCAATAGTAATACATGTAAGTGATAAAAGTAATTCATGTAAGTTTAAAACCAAATCAAGAATTGAGTAATAATTGTATAATTTCTTTAAGTTATTTTAACATTTAGTAATTAAAAAAGCATCGAAACACAAGGCTGTCGGATTTGTATGAGAGTATTAATCAGATTGCCGATTGTTTTGATGTTCTTTCTCTTTTGTATCTTAGGCAAAAATGAAAACACATTCCCAGTCATCCAAGAAAAATGTACTAAATGTTAAAGCATCTGAATATGACTTTTCTATATTAATATAAGCCGGTGCTAGGGGGCGTGGACGGTAACTTGCACTTTCCAGTACCGTCCATGTACAGGCTCAATCAAACCGAGCCTGCAACATTTTCAATTTTGTTGTGTTGGACTTTCTTTAGGAATTCTGTTTTTCTCTATTTTCTACTGTCATCTCCTTCCCTGTCTCTTTCCCTGTCGTCACAATATGTAATCAAAGCACAGAAGACGCTGAATTTGTTTGGGTCTCAGAATGTCAGAAAGGTGAAGGTTGTGAAATTACATGTATAAACCAATTTGTTTTTGTAAAGTGCCACCAAATTTATGCTTTCCAGCGTTTTAATTGTAGTAAATTGGCTATAAGAATAATTTAAACACTGATATTCAATCCAATGTTTATTTAACTTAAACAATTTAAAATAAATGGGTTGCCTTAACTGGGATTTGAACTCCAGACCTCTCGCTTCTTAAGCGAGCGCGCAAACCCCTCGGCCATGGTGAATTTACTTGTTAACAGCCTGAAGAAAACTATATTATTCTATATTAGGGTTTGTAAAGACGCTAACTGTTGTTTAACACAGATGTAAATAATCATGGAGCTTACTATAAGCATGTATATCTATAAAGAATAAAACAATATTAGAAATCTTTGACCATTCGGGAATTATTTTGCTTGAAAATTAATGCGCCTGTCATTTGACCATCTATACGCAGTGATCTCCCCTGAATTTTTTGGCGTTAGTTTACATATAAAGGGAAGTAACCACTTCAAAAAAGCGGACTACTTTCGGCATGCAATTAACAGCATTAGAGTCTGAAATTTCGCTACCATTATTTGTTTGGTCTGACGACCCAAACAAATAAAAACTAGAAAAAATGAACCAGTTAACAAGCAAGCTCCAGACAGACAGTGAGTTAAAGCACTGTGCATGTATTGGTATGTAATTTAACTCTGACATGTTTTCAAAAGTCTCCAAACTATGATACAATCATAAAATATTGTATGACAATTGTTTATAATAAATTTATTTTGAGTTACAGTAATTTCATTTTCGTAAAACCAAAATAGGTCCATTACTTTTTCATGCTATTTTGGAAACAATGCAACATTATACCAATAACAATTTTTATGTTGAGAAAAAATCACTATAATAGTACTGTTAGTCAATTATAGTTCTATGATATTGTTTCTTTTACAAGCATTGGAATTGATTTATGTTTGAAATATGTGTAAGTTATTCAAATTCTTGTATTATGTCTGAATGAAAGCTTAACAATTATGTAAATAACAAGGAATCAGAAGCTGGTCTGCTTAATAAACTTGTCAATTAGTTTGAAAGAAATAATCCACAAAATATTTCACAGAATATGATATAAGGTATTGAGATACAACTGTTTTGCACTAGGATTTATTCAAAATATTATCAAAATGTTGGTGCGAAACGGTTTTAACTTAAGTTACAACTGTTTCGCACCAACAAAATATGTCTGTTTGAGTTACAACCTTTGGACAAATATACTTTTTTGGTAGTTTAATTTTAGCTTTCAAGTTCAATATTTTTACAACATGTGTGTATATTGCTCCTACATTGAAAAACACCATAAAACCATTTTTGGTGAAATTATGAGTTACAACCCTTTCGCACCAAGGCATCGATATGTAACAATTTTTATAAAGATATATTTTATTTACACTAAAAGACCTCTTGAATGCTTAGGGGTTTGAGAACTGGTTAGTCCACGATATATCATCTGTCTATCCTTTAAAACCACATACCTATATAAGTAAAAATATGCTAGCTTCCACACATTCAATTTCATTAAATTATATGACGAGACTAAAGAAATGTTTAAATATTAACAATTTAATTCCTGTTTTACCAAATGTGACTGAATTGACTATTTTTATGAACATGTATCCACCCCATTACTGACAGAATAAGGGATATTTTCGTATGTTTTGACACATTTTGATTAATTTATTTGGCTTGTTAGTGCTGTAAGCTAGCTCAGATTTGTTGTTTACTTGACAATATTGTACTACAAAAACTTTTTGAATTTTTGTTGGAAAAATACAATAGTATATATGTACTATAACACAACAATTTTTGTAAGGAAAAAATATCTGCTTGATTACATGATTGTATTGATTGATGAGATATTAATTGGACATATGAGGAATTAATTGACAAAAAATATCATGTTTTTACAAATAGGGTATAAATATAGGAGCAGTGGTCTAGTGGTAACACTGACTACAAATCCAGGGGCCACTACTCTAACTAAAGTTACCAACAACTCTTACAAATGAGACTTTAACAATCTTGTTCCATGTAATAATGCTATATGTCCCTGTATCCATCGCATTATGCTACAATATTTAAATAACAACAGTCTTTAAAACACTCCGTCTTCCGAGTGTTTTGCCTTTGTGGGTTTTTGTTTGTGACTAAGATTAACTTAAATGTTGTTATATTTTTCCGGTCCTTTGGGATGATTGATTCCAGCATTTCTAAGTCTTGAAAATTAAGAACCCCTCAAGTCCGTGCTTGGGGATGTGAGAGATGTTGCACTTTTGCTTTATCTCTCATGTACAGACTCAATCGTACTGAGTCTGCAATTTTTATTTAATTTTGTTGTGATTAATGCTTCCGAGGATCTATTTTTTTCCAGATTTTTATATTGTTCACACAGAATTTGGTACAAGGACCATAATAATATAAAGTATTTTGACTTTATTTTAGGTGATATATTTTACAAACAGTGGGTCAGAAGCTAACGATTTAGCACTGTTGATGTCCAGAATGTATACTGGGGTATTTGAAGCTGTATCTCTTAGGTAAGCTAATGTTATACCTTTCTTAAGCTCACCTGTCACATAGTGACGGCTTGAGCTTTTACGATTGTTGTTCACTAATTTGTCAGATTAACAAAATAATTTGTTTTTAAGATTAATTGAAATCATGTTTTTAAGGTACTCGAAAATAAAATAGGTGATGAGTATTGATAAAAATGCTTGATAGTTAGCTTCAATAGTTGAACTTCTTTTTGATGTCAGAACTTCCTTCTTTGTTTATTGCAAATTCTAAAATCTCCCTCTTTTTGAAGAAAAATCTACCACTTTATCATCGAAAAAAGTTCATATGTATGTAGTTCTCTTGGGTAATCTCTGGTAATCTGCTTTTCATTGTATATTACTTAAATTAAACCAATACGATATGCAAAAATAGGCATAATTATTTAGAATTTCATTTCAGAAGGTAAACCTATTAATTCAATGTCCATGTTTCTTATAGAAATGCTAAATTTAATTTTAACACTTCATCTTTTATTTTCATGGTTTGCCTCATCTATAGTCTGGCTAAGAATTTGGCAGAAATACTGATTTAAGTGGTTTATTTGACATGTCTGTTATATATAATGGTTGATATAATGACATTATAACTGTTGTTTATTTATAGGAATGCCTACCATGGAGCTAGTCCCTATCTGATGGGTCTTACAGCTTTGAATACATGGAGGTTTAACAGTCCAACAGGGTTTGGTTTACATCAGGTATGTTTTTGTTCAAAACACTTGCTTTACATAATATAAGATAAATCAATCAATAGCTGGAAAAAATAAAAACAAGGGAAAATGATGGTTTATTTATTAATGAGGCTAACTTTCATTAACTTACACCTTGTACATATCTTAGGTTGGTTTAATTACTTGTTGAACAGACGCCTGCCACCTGTATAGATCTAGGCTATACTACACAACCATACAGTCAGACCAGCCCCCAATCTTATAATGAAATTTTCCAGACTCAGATCTCATGTAAGATTGATCTGAAAGTGACACAGAATACAGTGTTCATTAAAAATCCTAAGATTTGAGACAAAACGTTTTATAACTGCTAGGGCAGGCTCTGTGCAGTTGACATTTAAATGTTATGTGCTATTGAGATGTTGTTACTGTATGAACAAATCAAAATTGTGATTGAGAAATTCCTAATGTCTTAAGTTCTAGTGTAGTACTAGGTATATCTGTACAGTTAATGCTTATAATAATGGGGAATATTTCTTTAATTCAGTTTACTTGTTTATATGGCATATTCAGCATATAAACATTAACAATATAATTATATTTTCTTCTGGTAATAAGCAGAGGTTAACAATATTTAAAAAATGATTGAAGATTAACAAAATAAGCTGTGAGATATTACATGTGTGCTGAATTATAATAATATTAACAAATGTGACAATAAAATACAGAAAATGTATCATGTATTTAAACAAACATAATATAATCAATGATGTATTCACTTTACAGTCAATGAACCCTGATCCATTTAGGGGGCCATGGGGAGGAAAAAATTGTAGAGATTCTCCAGCTCAGGTATGTTATACATGTGTAGCATTTATTATACAATCTGAGATTTAGATTTCAGAGCCTTTGATTGGTCATTCATTTATTTGCACTGTTTTGGTTTTTTTATGTTTGTTTTGTGAATGAATTCTATTTAAGTTATTAAGTTCAGATATCTGTTGATTATTTAATCATATTATTTCCTATCACTAGACAATCAAACTTTTAAATGCCTTTTTTTAGCTCACCTGTCACAAAGTGACAGGGTGAGCTTTTGTGACCGCTTTTCGTCCGGCGTCCGTCCGTCCGGTCGTCCGTCCGTCGTCCGTCCGTAAACTTTTGCTTTAAATGACATCTCCTCATAAACCACTGAGCCAATTTCATCCAAACTTCACAGGAATGTTCCTTTGGTGGTCACCTTTAAAAATTGTTCAAAGAATTTAATTCCATACAGAACTCTGGTTGCCATGGCAACCGAAAGAAAAATCTTAAAATATCTTCTTTTAAACAACCCTAAGAGCTAGAGCTTAGATATTTGGCATGAAACATCTTCTAATGAGTGTCTACCAAGTTTGTTCAAATAAAAGCCCTTGGGTCAAAATTGGCCCCGCCCCAGGGGGTCATAGATTTTCCCTATATGCATATAGTAAAAACTTAAAAAATCTTCTTTTAAAGAACCCAATGAGCTAGAGCTAAGATATTTGGCATGAAACATCTTCTAGTGAGTGTCTACCAAGTTTGTTCAAATAAAAGCCCTGGGGTCAAAATTGGCCCCGCCCCTGGGGGTCGTTGATTTTCTTTATTTGTATATAGTAAAAACTTAAAAAATCTTCTTTTAAAAAACCCAAAGAGGCAGAGCTTAGATATTTGGCATGAAACATTTTCTGGTGAGTGTCTACCAAGTTTGTGCAAATGAAAGCCATTAGATCAAAATTGGCCCCGCCCCAGGGGGTCATTGCTTTTCCTTACATGAATATAGTAAAAACTTTAAAAATCTTCTTTTAAAACCCAAAAGAGCTAGAGCTAAGATATTTGGCATGAAACATCTTCTAGTGAGTGTCTACCAAGTTTGTTGAAATAAAAACCCTGGGGTCAAAATTGGCCCCGCCCCAGGGGTCATTGATTTTCCCTATATGCATATAGTAAAAACTTAAAAAATCTTCTTTTAAAGAACTGTAAGAGCTAGAGCTTAGATATTTGGCATGAAACATCTTCTAGTGAATGTCTATCAAGTTTGTTGAAATAAAAACCCTGGGGTCAAAATTGGCCCCGCCCCAGGGGGTCATTGATTTTCCCTATATGCATATAGTAAAAACTTAAAAAATCTTCTTTTAAAGAACCTTAAGAGCTAGAGCTTAGATATTTGGCATGAAACATCTTCTAGTGAATGTCTATCAAGTTTGTTGAAATAAAAGCCCTTGGGTCAAAATTGGCCCCGCCTCAGTGGGTCATTGATTTTCCCTATATGCATATAGTAAAAACTTAAAAAATCTTCTTTTAAAGAACCCAAAGAGCTAGAGCTAAGATATTTAGCATGAAACATGTTCTAATGGTTGTCTACCAAGTATGTTCAAATAAAAGCCCTGGGGTCAAAACTGGCCCGCCCCGGGGGTCATTGATTTTCCTTATATGTGTATAGCAAAAACTTAAAAATCTTCTTTGAAAAAACCCAAATAGCTAGAGTTTAGATATTAAGCATAAAACATCTTTAAGTAAATATCTACAAAGTTTGTTCAAATAAAAGCCCGGGGGTCAAAACTGGCCCTGCCATAGGGGTGTCATTGTTTTTAACTATATGTGTATAGTAAAAACTTTAAAAAATCTTCTTCTAAAAAACCCAAAGAGCTAGAACTTAGATGTTTAGCATGAAACATCTTCTAATGAGTGTCTACCAAGTTTGTTCAAATAAAAGCCCTTGGGTCAAAATTGGCCCCGCCCCAGGGGGTCATAGATTTTCCCTATATGCATATAGTAAAAACTTAAAAAATCTTCTTTTAAAGAACCCAAAGAGCTAGAGCTAAGATATTTGGCATGAAACATCTTCTAGTGTGTGTCTACCAAGTTTGTTCAAATAAAAGCCCTTGGGTCAAAATTGGCCCCGCCCCGGGGGGTCATTGATTTTCCCTATATGCATATAGTAAAAACTTAAAAAATCTTCTTTTAAAGAACTGTAAGAGCTAGAGCTTAGATATTTGGCATGAAACATCTTCTAGTGAATGTCTACCAAGTTTGTTCAAATAAAAACCCTGGGGTCAAAATTGGCCCCGCCCCAGGGGGTCATTGATTTTCCCTATATGCATATAGTAAAAACTTAAAAAATCTTCTTTTAAAGAACCCAAAGAGCTAGAGCTAAGATATTTGGCATAAAACATCTTCTAGTGAGTGTCTACCAAGTTTGTTCAAATAAAAACCCAATGAGCTAGAACTTAGATGTTTAGCATGAAACATCTTCTTATGGGTATCTACCAAGTTTGTTCAAATAAACAAATAAAAGCCCTTGGGGGGGGGGGCTATATACAGGTGAGTGACCTCAGGGCCATCATGGCCCTCTTGTTTCTTTTTAAAATGAATATATAAATTTATTATAACAAGTTCAAATATATGTTGATCTATTATTTATTCTTGTTATTTCATATCAACAGACAATTCGAGATTGTGATTGTGCAGCTGGAGAATGTAAAGCAGGTGACATGTACCTGGATCAACTAGAAGATGTTCTCAGGTTCTCTATGCCTAAAGGCAAAATTGGAGCTTTCTTTGCTGAAGCTATACAGGTAGAAAGTGATCCAACTTTAATTGCTGATTTTATCTGAACTATTTACTTGTTTGACCCATTTAATCAAATCAGTTGACAATTCGATAACTTTATTGTCATCATCACAATTATATAGTAAAAATATGATGTTGTTATGCTCCCCGAAAAATTTCAGGGGAGCATATAGTCGCCGGGTTGTCCATCAGTCCGTCTGTAAGTACGTCCCGAGTTCGTGTCCGGCCATAACTCTGTTATTTGAAGTTGGATTTTAAAACTATTTCACAGAAATGATCACCATATTGAGACGATTTGGCACACGCAACATTTGGGTTTCTACCTTGAAGGTCACAGCATGACCTTGCAGCAAAATTGTGTCTGGCCCATAACTTCGTTATTTGAAGTTGCATTTTATACAACTATTTCACAGAAATGATCACCATATTGAGACATTGTGATGCGTGCAACATTTTAGTTGTTTTTTTTACACTTTGAACTTTGTGTGTGACATTACTCTGACACTACTAGAGGTATACCTTCCTGTGTCCAAAACCTATTCAGGGAGCATCACCCAGTTTAACTGGCTCTTGTTTTGGTTATTTTTGGGGCTGCTGTTGAAATAAGACTTTTCTTGTCTTGATCATAGTTGTTTTGATATGTTTGTTTTACCATGTTTATACCAGATAATATGACACAATTCACAAAGATCTCCGATATGTTGTAACATTTCCTTAGCCTAAGTAATCATGGTCCTTTAAATTCAGGAAACGATTTTTCTGTTCAAGGCATGTTTATAACTAGAAAATATTAAACTGTTTCTAACATCATGATTTATTTTAATACATTAATAATCAGCAAATTAATAATTGTATCTATTTGTTATGTTATGTGTTTTAATAAATTTAGTACATGTACTGCTGAATAAGGCCCATGATGGCTGAGAGCAAAAAAGATTAATAACTAAACATCTTTACACCTACACTGCTGGTGTTTGTCATGTTTCTCTATGAACCATTTATACATGTGTTGAATTTTAGCATTTGAACAAAATGAACATCATTTTATTAGTATAATAAATTTTAGGGAGTTGGAGGAACTGTGCAGTTTCCAAAGAATTTCTTGAAGAGAGCATTTGAGAAAGTGAGGGCCTTGGGTGGAATATGCATATCTGATGAGGTAAAAAAAAATCTTCTTCTAATACTCTGTAGTAGTACATTGATTGTATAATACACTGTTGTGAGTAAAACTATATTTCCAATAATGCTTTGTCCTGATTATAAAAGTTTCCCCAAAATTCACAGAGGGGTATTCAAAGTTGCCATAAGAGTGTTTGTATGTCTATGTCTCACTCAATTTATATTAGATTAAACATCCAAATTCTTTAGGTGTTTTTATCTGTGAATCATAATTCATTTACTTAGCTCAAGGGATATACTTCAGAGCTGAACAGTTTATACTGAAAACACATTTCTACCACTTCAGATCATTCAAGTGTTGTTAAGTTGATAGTTTATTATATTTGCAGAACCTTTAAATATGAGTCAGATTAACTGCATGCTATTGAGAATTGAAATACAACAAGTTTTAATGTATAATATTTTCAGGTACAGACAGGGTTTGGGAGAACGGGAACTCATTACTGGGGCTTCGAGGGTCATGGTGTTATTCCAGATATTGGTAAAATTTTGTAGAGAATTTGTTTATTGTAAAGGGAACGTTTTGTGCATTTGAAGTGCCTGGGTTTGAATGACATGTATGTTTTTTATTTCATTTGTTGATTGTGACAGGATGTTGTTATGTTTCTTTCCTCAGTCTGGTGAATACAATGTATAACATTTTAAAAGATCGATTTTTACTGCTGCTTAACATAAAACCTTACCCTTGTCAAAGTTTTCTTTGTATTTGATGGTAAATGGTATGCCAAAAGAACATTTATTTTGTAGTTTTAAAGATAGAAAATTATGCTGCTTACCCAAACTTATTCAACGAAGGCTAGTATTCCACTTATTATGATATTATTTTTCTTGATTTTCTTTTTCACCAAAAATAACAATTTTTATGAAACAAAAAGGTGATTGTATTGTAATATGTAAATATATGTTAATATAGTTACTATGGCAAAGGGTATAGGAAATGGTTACCCTATGGCAGCGGTGATTACAACCCCTGAGATAGCAGCTGGTATGGGGAAAGCTTTACATTTTAACACATTTGGAGGTAACCCTGTAGCTTTCCGCAGTAGGTGCAGCTGTTTCTTGATGTAAGTTGTTTCATAAAATATATAATTTAGGATCTCATTCATGAATGGAACCTTCGTCATTATGACCTAAACTGTAATGGTGCGGCCTTAAAACCAAACAATTAATGAGCCTTTACCATTACAAGTATTATTGATATAGACAATTTGTTAATAACCAAAGTGTTTTTTTTTTTTTTTTTTTTTTTTTTTTTTTCTTTCTTCTGACCAATCAAAATGCTTTGTAAGATAGAGGTGAAAGTAACGAACAGTGCAAGCATCTTTGAAATGATAAATGATAAATGCTTTGGCATATTGATAATTTTTAAAGTTAGTAAATTAGTATTACATAAACTTAAAAAAGTTTTCTCTGTAAATACAAAGACTTTACTGTTCCTGTATTGGTTATTCACCAGATTATACTGTAGATTATATGTTCATTAGCAAGTAGTATAATTTATTTCAGATATGATATATCTATATATTATAGGTCATCGATGAGGAAAATATTCAACAGAATGCCCATGGTTGTAGGCGAACATACTTTATTGAAGAGCTTTGCCAAGTTGGAGAGTCAGTTTGATACTGTAGGCGATTAGAGGAAAAGGTTCATTGATGAATAGAAATGGTTCAAGGATGAAGTTATCATTCACCCTGTTGGTTATCCATTAGCCTTCATCGAAACAGAATTGTCGTGTGACTAGTCGCAGACCAAGATCAAGCCAGACATATCAGTCTGATCATTAGCGGTCTGATGTTTGTTACCGATCATCACATATTTTGAAACTTTTCCTAAAATATGGTGACTGACCTTTGTGCATATTAAAAGATTGGCAAGGGTCCATTTAGAATTTAGCTTGATAAAGGTTACAGTTGTGTACTGGTGTTCAATATTTAATTTTGAATACCACTTTACTCACATTTCATACATTTCTGATTCAATATAAGTAAAACTGTGACATAACTTTGGTTAAATTCTTGCTAGTTATTAATGGACACAGAAAATGTTTTAAAAATATATGACGGTCATATCTTGATTAATAGTAGACTTTACTTTTAAATTTTTAGACTGACAATTTAGATTATTATTTCAAATTTTGAATGAGTGCCTCCTTATTACATTTTAATATATATTCTCCTAATTCAATTTAATTTAAATGTTCAAAATTTAAATGTATCCATATTTGCTGTTTAAATCAATATAATGTTTGTGCTCATGACTTTAAGGAGCTTATTATGAGATTATTTGAAATTTACATGTATAGTCTCCCTTCCCCCTTCTGAACAATTGCTTCCATATAAACATAGACATATTCTATTTTCTCATTGAACTTTTTGGGAAAAAATTATTTAAATTTAACTTCAAACCTGGTTTTTTAGCTCACACTGTCACAAAGTGACAGGGTGAGCTTTTGTGATCGCTTTTCGTCCGGCGTCCGTCCGTCCAGCATCCTGTCCGTCGTCCGATAAACTTTACTAAAATGAATCTCCTTCATAAACCGCTGAGCCAATTTCATCCAAACTTCCCAGGAATGTTCCTTTGGTGTCACCTTTAAATTGTTTCAAAGAATTTTAATTCCATGCAGAATCTGGTTGCCATGGCAAACGATAGAAAAAACTCTTAAAATACTTTCTTTTAAAAAACCCCCAAAGAGGTAGAGCTAGATATTTGGCATGAAACATTCTATGAGTGATCTATCAGTTTGTTCAAATAAAAGCCCTGGGGTCAAAATTGGCCCGCCCCAGGGGGTCATTGATTTTCCCTATATGATATAGTTAAAACTTAAAAAAATCCTTCTTTTAAAGAACCAAAGAGCTAGAGCTACAGATATTTAGCATGTAACATCTCTAACGGGTGTCTACCAAGTTTGTTCAAATAAAAAGCCTGGGGTTCGAAATTGGCCCTGCCCCAGGGGTTCATTTGAATTTTCCTATATGCATATAGTAAACTTATAAATCTTCTTTAAAGAACCAAAAAGCTAGAGCTAAATATTTAGCATGAAACTCTTCTAATGGAGTTGTCATATCAGTTTTGTGTCAAATAAAAGCCCCCGGGGTCAAAATTGGCCCTCCCAGGGGGTCATTTGATCCCTAATGCATATAGTAAAAACTTAAAAAATCTTCTATAATAAGAACCCAAAGAGCTAGGCTAAGATTAGAATATGTTCTAATGGGTGTCTACCAAAATTTGTTCAAATAGAGCCCTGGGGGTTAAAATTGGCCCTGTCCCGGTGGTCATTATTTCCTTATAGTGATATTGCAAAAGCTTTTTAAAAAAATTTTTCCTTTGAAAACCCAAATTAGCTAGGTTTAGATATTTATATACATCTTCAGTTAGTGTCTTCAAAGTTTGTTCAAATTAAAGCCCTAGGGCAATTGGCCCTGCCCCGGGGGGACATAAAATTTTCCTTATATGTGTATAGCAAAAACTTAAAAATCTGGAATAAAACAATAGCTAGAGTTTAGATATTAAGCATGAAACACCTTCTAGTGGAGTGTCTTCAAAGTTTGTTCATGGTCATCCGCTGGGATGTCATTGCTTTTAACTAATATGTAAAAACTTAAAAATCTTTTTTTTTAAAAACTCAACGAGCTAGACCTTAGATTGTTTGCATGAAAAATCTTCTAATGTGTGTCTACCCAATTTTTCAAATAAAAAGCCCTTAGGGTTATGTGCTATATCAGGTGAGCTATTCAGGGCTCATGGGCCCTCTTGTATCTATAATATGATGCATTTTGCGAATACAATGGGTTTAATTAAATTTTTATGAAGGTAAAATAAAAAATCGAAATGTTATGAATAATATTCTTATTGATTATTGTTTATTTATCACTTTTGATTTGCAATACATGATTTTGTTGAGTTATTGTCTGTTTATTTAATTGATAAATTTAATATTCACGACAAAACCAAGGTAATGCGTTTTGCGGCAGCATGTAATCCTCTCCCGGATCAGGTCCATCTATTCGCTGTCATTATTCTCTATTTGTTATAGGTTTTATAGCGAACAGCATGGATTCCTGATCAGACTTGCGTGAATGTGCAAGGCGGTCTGGATCCATGCTGGTCATAAACGCATTATGTTGGTTTTGTTCATGGCGCGGCTCAATTAATTTAATTCTGCACCAGGTATTCTAGAGATGATATTAAATAATATGATTGCAATATATGGGAGTAATATATAGATGGTGTATAAAAGTGGAAAGTGGTCTCTATGGAAATTGTAAGCATAATTAAATTATCTGTGAAAGAATAATCATATTCTGTGTAAAGAATAATATATATGAAATATAATCAAATTCGTGTAAAGAAAATCAATTCTGTGTATAGAATAATAAATTCTGTGTTAAGGAATTAACTGTGAGAAGTATGTTTTTTTTTAAGATATGTTACATTGTCTTATTTAAGATTTAAATTTTCAACAGAAAATTAGAAAGAAAAACAGAAATTAGTTGTGAATTGTGATGGTCAGGCATTATTTTGTTGTTGTGCACAACACTTGTATTATAGGAATTTAAAACTTAACTCTCACGAATGAATTAATAAAAAAGTTGGTACAGACTGTGTAATAGGTAGTTGAAAAACCTGTTGTCATCGTCAAATGAAATTATGTTAGTTGAAAAATTTGCTCATGCTTTGTAGGAAATGAAATGTGAAAGTATTTAGGTTTAGAAAATAGAAATTGGCTGCGTAACTTAATTTAATTGCACATATTTGGAGGTCCTCATACATGATTTGACATTATATGTATAATGTGTTAATTATGTTTTATGAAATCTGTTACTGAATGCTAATTTCTTACCA